GTCATTGAGTGGCGCCGAATGCTGGGCATTTAAACAGTCCTTCGGAGCCACTCGATGACGTAGTATACTTGAAATAGTGGCTCTGCAGCAGGTATACTCAACATTGAGAAACGGCCAGTATGTCCTGAAAGGAGATCTGTCTCTGTCACTCTGATTGGCCAACTGGGAAATGCAACAAGCTCCTCTCAATTTTTAATCAGGTGCCAGCAGATGGTCTGAATAACTCCTAATCAATTCAGGTGAATAATGACAGAGGGAAATCACAACTAACACTGAGGGATCATTATTTTGTTTTAGAACATTTGCTCTGGTGTAGCCTAATGTAATGTTCTTCTCCCAAACTTCAGTATGGAGGCTATCTAAAACACCTAAAAACCCCATTGCTATTTATTATCTATCTGGGCTACTAGATTTTTTTCTAATGATCATCTACGGAAGGGTTTTTGCTCTCGTCCTTTCTCTGGATGAGGTTGTTACTGCTCAATCTGACAGCCGTAGAGCGAGGAGGAAGTGGATGCACGACACCATCCATCGGAGACAACAATACGTTGGATATCATTGCCTATTATAGGGGGTACTGTGAAATGGAGCCCTGGACCTAATTAAGGCTAACCAAGGGGCAATTTGACAGTGCTGTCAACAGCTTTTCTTTAACTAGAAGAGCGTTGCTTAGAAGAAACAAAATGCCATAGGGACACTCCAAAACTCTGTTTTCTGTAAAACATGTTTTTATGCTAAGCTAAGGGGCTGCTGGCTCAGAAACATCAGTACGAAATAGACAGGCGTAAAAATGGTTTTAACTTCTCATCCAACTCCAGGCATGAACATGATTGGTGTAGTAATTTTGACTTGTATAATAATCTACTGAGTAATCTTATTCCCCACAGTTCAGGACAAGAGAAATAAAACAAATATAAATAAGTATGACAGTAAACTAGAGACCTTTCAGAAACATCCATAATCTATAAAGACGCAACTAATCTGCAAACGTACAAGATACCTGCAGCTAGCATGCTTGTACATTCAGTTTATTTTTGTATAAGGAATCTTGTTTTGCAGGAATGAGTCCTAATACCCAGATGAGTCAGCATTTTACCATATCCATTTCCCTCGTCCGTGTTTTTGGTTAGATGCCCAAAATAAGGTTAACTTTAGTGTTTTACTTTGGCAATTGCACTTGTGTTTCAAAAATCAAAAAGTGCTATTAATGTGTCGAGGTTTTTCCTGCTGAGCAAACATGTAACTATCAAGTGTGTATTTGTCACGGATCTTATTTACTCCAGTATTCAAACATTCTAATGGAAAAATCCCATTGCTTTATGTTGGGGGAGCACATGTGATCCTAACCTCAAAGTCGGCCTACACAGACACATCATCACTGCCACACTCCATTCCAGCATTAACAGCCACTGATTGTGTCTTCGGAGCTGAGGCTCTCAACAGCTGAGGGAAAAAAGCTTGTGGGATTTGGCTCACCTCCAATCTAAAAATATGCAGTTTTGACAGGAACTGACAGAGCGGAGAGCAAGGTAAACCTGAGCAGCATTGTTATCCAAGACTGCCCCCCCTCATCTGCGAGGTATTTATGAGGAACACTCCTATACAGCAGGCTATCATTTCCTCAGACACATGTGGGTGTGCTGGGGTCCTCTTCATAAACATCTGCTTACCGCCTACAGTCACAATAACACAACCTGGATCTGCACAAAGACCACATTAACAGGGAACAGCAAATCATAGCATTGTATAGTGGCAAATCACCATTTTAAATGTGACAAAAGCTAAAAATAGCACTTTCTTTCATCAGAGGCAATAAAGGCATTTTAACAGATGCAGTGACATCTTGAATCCCACCTTCATCCTCACAGCTCATAAATCCTCCTCATCACCAGAACACAATGCTTTAAACCCCGGGGTTATGCAGCGTTACACTATCTTATCTCTTGTATCCAAAAATGAAAGATGGTGCAGATCTTTAGTTAATCCGAGGAATGTGACCTCTCTTTTTAAATACTCAAATGTACACAAATTGGTCCTTTTCAGTTTGCACGTATGATTACCGTCTGATTTACTCAAAACTAAATAACATTTCTGTTATTTCTTTACACTATTGGTCAAATCAGAAACATTGTGAATCAAGATGAAGGATTTCGCAATGCACTTGAATTGTTGATCACCATAATATATAAAAAATGTAAATAATACACAAATGATAATTTCATGTTAATAATCCAGCACCTTAAATATTTGTCCGTGCTTTTACAGTTATGATTACTGAATCTCTTCCTGCCCACACTCTTTAAAAGTGTATTTCATTTGCCAAACAAGAGGAATTAATTGAAAACATAGTCAATAATCACATTTTCGAATATTATATTGTGGGAAAATAAACAATTGAATTAAGTTTGAACTTTGAATTTCTATTCCAAATCAAGTCTGATATTATGTATTTTGATAATTTGATAAAGAAAACCAAAAGTAAATATTTTTAGTTCAGGGGAATAACAGGGAGGCACTTTTATGTTATCAACCCCACTCAACCGAACACACCAGCTGAGATGTCACTCACAGACTGAGAATCCTTGCTATTATCTCGAGATCTGTTCTTTGCCAGCCTTTTCTTCTTCTTGTGAAGGGGACGCGACTCCAGGATCATCTCCTCCAGCTCAAAGGTGGGGTCGCAGTGGAGGCGCCCTTTCTGTGGCAGGGAGATGCACAGGAGATAATAAGAAGCCCCCACACAGGGTCATAAATTAACTGCACTATACACAGAGTGCACACATGTATAGTGAGTATAAAATACTGAATAACACACATAATGTACATGAACCAGAGTGACACACCATGAAGGAGCTGCAATCACTTTCTCATGCATTATTTAGTTGCTATACACACTTTTTACGATCTGCAAACACGAGGGAGTGTTTGGTGTTTGCCTCTAAGTGTTTATTGTATGTGTCTGTGTGTGTGTGTGTCTGGTAGCATCAAACTGACATTAGGAACAAATCCGGCCTCGATGGTCTTCTCGTACACGGCGTCCCAGTTGACGTCAGTGAGGTAGGCAGATGCCTGCATGGCAGACAGACTGGAGTAACGATGCTCTGGGTTCACTGTCAGTAGCTGTGAACACACACACACACACACACACGTTTAAATGTACAGTATATAAAATCCTTATGTGACTGTTTAGCCATAACATTTCAATTAAAACTGTATCATTTCAAATTAAATTATTACGGTTTTTTTCTATTTGTTTTACAGGCATGCACACAAGAATATGGAGCCCAAAGGGTTAAATATCAATAGGAAATTAGGAATAACTCAACTATGGTAAAGCAACTATAGTAATTCAACACACTACACACATGAAATGTCTTTTTCTTTATAACTTCTAGCTACCTGCCTAGCCAGCTAACTAGTCAAAAAAGAGAAGCACCAGTGTTAGCCATGTCAGCTACTTCCTGTTGACTAAAAAGACCACAAAGACTTCACACAGTTGTGTCTTTTTCCAAGAAACATCTCTTTAGTATGGGGTAAATAACCCATGCTCACAACCTAGCTAGCTAGTTAGCCGGCTAAGTAAGTAGCATGTGAAGCTTTTTAAACCTAACTCTAATAAGTTTTATTGAACATAGTGTAATTTTTATTTCTGTCTACTGTGTATATTTACTGCAGCTAATTTGGTCGATCGATAATTACTTTGACAATATTGCCCCTTAGGCTAAAAGGAGTAGATACAAAATAGGGGGAAAGTAGAAGGTCAATGATAGAAATATAGAATATAAAATATCAAGAAGATACTGTAAGTGATCTCTTCAATAAAACAGTTTAGTGCTGGATGTAGAAATATATTAATAGGAGGATGTGCAAAACAGACAAACTAATAAGGCTTTATTCAAAGGGGACCTATCATGCAAAATGCACTTTTGTACGTCTTTTATAATAATAAATAATAATAATAAATTTATTTTGGGGGGCGCCTTTCATAACACCCAAGGACACCTTACAGGGCATAGGGGCAATATAGGGAACAATTAAAACAGTGGATTTAGTGAAGTATCAGCCGGGGTAAGACAAGACAAACAACAGGAAATTGACTAAAAAAGGACACAAAAGGACACATGGTACAGATTATAAAGAAAATGCCAGTTTGAACAGGTGGGTTTTGAGTTGGGTTTTGAATGCTGTTAGGGAATCAGACTGTCGGATGTGTAGTGGCAGGGAGTTCCAGAGTCTGGGAGCCGAGCAGCTGAAAGCTCGAGCACCCATGATTTGAGGCGATAGGTTGGGACGATGAGAAGTCCTACGGACGAAGAGCGGAGGGTGCGGGAGGTGGTGTACTCCTGAAGGAGGTCCGTGATGTAGATGGGGGCAAGGTTATGGAGAGCTTTGTATATGAGTATAATGTGTTTGTAGTGAATACGGTAGCATACAGGAAGCCAGTGTAGCTGAGTGAGAATGGGGGGATGTGGTCGGATGAGTTGGTGCGGGTGATGATCCGGGCAGCAGAGTTCTGGATTATTTGCAGTCTATTGAGGAGCTTGGTGGGAAGGCCAGTCAGAAGCATTAATCAATCCGGGATGTGACCAATGAGTGGACCAGGATTTCGGTGCTGGGTTGGGACAGAGATGAGCGGAGTCTGGAGATGTTCCGAAGATGAAAGAAGGCGGTGCGGGTGATGTTTTTAATGTGTGGTGCGAATGAGAGGCAGCCGTCCAGAATGACACCGAGGCTTTTCACTCGGGCAGAGAGTGGGGAAGCCGTCGACGATGATGTTTGGTGCTGGGGTGTTTCGTGACTTGGTGAGAGTGGATTTGGAGCAGAGATAAATGAAACCTTGGGTATACTGTGTACTCTAGGGTTTGTACATTTTCTTTATATAGTTTAGCCCTTCATTGTGATGGCATGTAAGAAATCAAATGTTCTAGAAGAATCCAAAGTAACACAGGTTGATTTATGAATTGTTTTGTTTCAGTCATTCCTAACCTTTAATTTTGTATCTCTCTTCATTTCTTTTTTTTTCTTTTACCACTCCCTTCCTCCCTCACTCCTATCTCCTCTTCCCTCCTCCCCTCCTCCTCTCAGCGGATGCGTTCCTGAAGGCAGCGGTCAGCCTCCTCCCAGATGTTCCTCGCTCCATCAGCGTTGAGGGGAAACTTCGCTCCTCTGAGAGCTTCCTGCTCGACTTCATCAACAACTTCCTGTCTACTCTGCTGGTCGTCCCGGTAACACATCCTTACCTCAGCCTTTCAGATCAGAAAGATGAGTCGCATAAGATAAAGTTCAAGGCTTTTATTGTCATTCGAACATCAGCTACAGTTTAGATATGACAATGAACCTCTTAGGTCACAGACTCCTCCAACAGTGCAACACAATAAAACAGATTATAGTGGAAGTCAATACAAATAGAATATATAGTACGGCGGGTAAGCACAACAATTGTGCATTTTATGAGAAAAGCATGACATTTCTAGCATAGTTAG